TTATTATTATTATTATTATTATTATTATTATTATTATTATTATTATTCTCACAGACTTTAGTTATGCATGCCTTTTCGTTTTGTGGACTTACACATGTAATAAAGTACATCTCTCATTCAATATAATTACTCAAAATAAAAATTGATACAAATACTGTTTAGATATTTTTTCAAATCTATAAAGAAATAAAATGCTAAAATTGCTAAAATCCCCATTATCTTAAAAAACGCTGACGTGTTCATGTAACTGAAAAGTAAATAGTATTTTTGATAATAAGAAAGAAATCGATAAGGTTATTGGTTGAATCTCCTTTAAGTGATTGAATTAATCAGATTCATTAACACGAGGTCAAATTATGCTGAGAGAAACCAGCTAAACATCTACCGCTGTAATTGTGCAAACAAGCGGAATGTAGTGACAATAATAATAAAAAATCACTTCAACTGTTACAGAGTGTGAAGCAGGGAAATTATAAAGGAAAATTAAACATGCATTCCCTTTCCATTGAATATTCAGGGGGAAAAAGAAAATTAAGAACGCAAACCAAACCAAAATTGAACGTTATAAAACGGGACGGCCATGTTGTCTCCATGTAGGTCAGCACGGTGTCAGACGGTGTGAATTCAAATATCAAAACTGAAATGACAAGGGAAATATCTTAGGCATGTGTACTATGATATCAAGTGAGCGCAGGTATGCGCCAGTAAACACACACTGCAGTCCAAAACAAAGTTGTGCTGAGTGGGTTTTCCAGCTCTGGGGCTCAGGGTCAGCCTGCTCTGCCATGAAGCATCATTTTACCCTGAATATAGAGATTTAATGTCTGGTCATAATAACGACGTTAAAACCTAGAAAAAGACATGTCTTATTTCTTAGACATGTGCACATCTGCAGGGACTAGTTTTGATTTTGATTGTTTTTTTGTTATTAGCACAAAGAGAAAATATTGTTTACTTTTATAAGAGAATATTTGTTATTTGTATAAAAGAATGTTTGTTCATTTTTACCGAAAAATCTTATCAAAATAGACTATTTTTCATAAATGAATTTGGTAAGCTGACATTATCGAAGTATTTTCTTATTTTTGCCGTGAAAGGATCTGGGTTAGGATGACGCACACAGCTCACACAGTGTGTACGAGTATGAAAAATCACTGCTCAGGATTGAAGTCCGTAACAAATGAGGCGTAACTTTAACTCACATAAAATGACAATTTATTAAACAAACAGACAAATCCTTCAGAATACTTTTCAACAAATGAAGAATCTTTAGAATAGTACGGCGATATACACGTTCCTTTTTTTTCCTCCATAGTGGAACAATGTTTGGACAATTAAAGCAGTTCAATTTAGAAACAGATTTTGGGTGTTTGGTCCATAATATCCGGCTACAGTTGAGAAATAAATTACTATATGCAATTTACACGTCCGAGAAAAGTGACACATCTTAAACATATGGCATTAAGCAACAAAAGCAAAAAGGAGACTTACGTGTCATTTGCAGTAACACTGTTCTTTAGAAAAACCAAGATCAAGTCTTTTTCTTTTTTGTTTCTCGTCTGATATAAGTCCATGCGGTGTGGACAAGTAAAAGGGGGGTGGGGGGGGATTTTTAATGACAGAGTTCAAACACCGTATAAAGATTGAGCTGTTTTTTTTTTCTCTTTTGGTCAGAACTTGCTGCAGTCATATACGAAAGCTCCCGAAGTGCGATAGATGGACTGGCTCGGTGGGAATGACATTTGACAGCTGTTATTCCCATTCACCGGCGAGTTATTCAAGCCAATTCTTTGGGATTCGAACATCTCTCGGACTGAGTGGAAGTTCTGCTGCTGTGCCGGGTACGTTGCGCCCAGGTGGCCCAGGTCTCCGGCCTGGTTGAGGTACCACGAGGCCAGCCTCCCCTGGTGGGGGTGGTGGCCCTCCTGGCCGGAGTTCAGATTGGCGTGGGTCAGGGAGGATGAGGTGGTCGTGACCGAGTAATCTGGCAACGTTTCGTCCACGGTGGTGTTCGGTGCCAAGTGGCTCGATCTGTCCCCGGCGTAAAGGCTCATGGCTTGCATGTTGCAATGATAGGTGGCATTGGAGGTAGTGGAGATGGAGTTTTGGTTACAGGGCGAGCTGTAGACGGACGTCTGACTCGGGGAGTAGTTTAAGGACAAAGACGGTGCTATACCTGTCCTGCTGGAGGCGGTGAGGCCGGGGCCGAGCTCGGTGGCTCCCTGCGGGGATCCCCGGAGGGAGGTCATGATGTTGTCCACGCTGAAGCCCTGCGTGGAGGCCTGGCCGTGGTGCTGGTGGTGGTCGGAGCTGTCCAGGCCGATGGACCTGCTGGACGGGATGCTGCTGTGAGGGCTCCCGCTGGACATGCTGCTGCTGCTGTCCGGGCTCTCGATTTTGGGGACGGTGCTGAGGGAGGGCGAGTCGGCCTGCGGCGGCGTGACCGTGCCGTTCTCGGTCTTAATATCCTGGATCCGGACGGGCTGGGAGCCCTGCACCGCCTGCTCCTGCTCCCGGCCCTGCTGCTGCTGCTGCCGCGGGGGCACCTCCTTCTGCAGCCGCTCTTCCTTCTCCTTTATCGCGTCCTTCTTTTTGAACCGCCGCCTCCTCCTCAGGAAGCTCCCGTTCTCGAACATGTTGTAAGAGTCCGGGTCCAAGGTCCAGTAGCTGCCCTTACCGGGTTTTTTATCATCACGGGGCACCTTGACAAAACACTCATTCAGGGACAGGTTGTGCCTGATGCTGTTCTGCCAGCCCTGCTTGTTGTCTCGGTAAAAGGGAAACCTCTCCATGATGAATTGGTAAATCCCGTTCAGGGTGACCTTTTTGTCTGGCGAGTTCTGGATGGCCATGGTGATGAGCGCGATGTAGCTGTAGGGAGGTTTGACCATATCCTTGGGCTGCGGCTGCGGGGTGTATGGTCCGTACGCGCGGGCCATGCTGGCGGGGTACTGGTCGTGAGCCGCGTGGGAGTACATGTTCATGGGCGCGGGCATCCCCGTGTAACCCCCCCCGGCCGCGGCCCGGTAGTAGCTGGGGTCGCTGCTGATGTACGGCACGACGCCCAGCGAGTTCGGGCTGGAGACGGAGTAGCGAGCCTGCATGTTTTTTTTTTCGCTTTTGATCCTGCGCAAAAAAAAATTAAACTCCAAAAGACGCTTGAGAGTGAGCTCCACTCCTCCCTCCTCTGAAGTCTGAGGTGCGCCGATCACAGTTCCTGACAGTGCTGACTTACACAGGGGGGGAAAAAAATAGGGGGAAAAGTCTTCACTGCGAGGCAGTTTGCTCAGTTTAAGCTGTCCCCATCCTTGAGACCGTATGGAAAGCACAGTGAAAAAGCTCTGTACTTTGGACGTCCGTCACCATACATGACTTTTGCGCAGTTGAATTCTTTCGTCCTTTTGGCTGCCAGTGTAGCTCCTCCTCCAAAAGCGCACGGGTCGTCCAATGGGAAGTCAGGCCATGCATAGAGAGTAGGGAGCTGCTGACCACACTCAAGGCTTAGATTAAAAAAAAAAAGTAGAGGAGGTGTCGGTAACTCCCAGCCCACGCCTGCCAGAATCTTCAGACGTGACAGATTAACTCATATGTACGCAGAGATGGATGCATATCCGTGCACTTTGCATCCTCCAATGGAGATGTAATTGATTCTTTAATCAAGAAAAATGGAGAGGATTGTGAGACCGTCTCTCAAAATGAAAAAAAAATCTAAAGGTTTGTAGGGCCTATGACAGTATCAAACCATCTCATTTAAAAAGAAAATTCATGCGTTAAAGGAATAAACTTTTTAAATAGATGTTGGCTTTGAGAATACGCCATTTATCTGTCATAAATTGAGTTTCATTTTAAACCAGAAAACATCCAAACGACATTCAAACAAATGGCGTACTTAAAACGCTTAAACGTCTTCAAAGTGTGGCTGAAAAACTGAACCCCGGCAGCGGATCAGTGTGAGACCAGAGCAGGGAAGGAGCTCTCCTCATTTGCAGTGGGCGGCGAAGTGCGATCTCATCACAGTGGGAATTAAGAATTATTCGTGCTAAATGTGAGAAGAGATGTTGGAGTTTATTCAGGGAGCGCATCTGAGAGGCATGTGGGAACCAAATGGGGGGCCAGCACACCCAGGTTGCTTACTTACCTTAAACAAATGTTTGAATAATCTGTGCTGTTGTTTGAGGTCAATCTAGTCGACTAAAGTTGGTGTAAAAATGTTAGATTTTTTTAAAAAACTATTTCACTTATCGTGACTGATAGTTGTTTTAAGACGCGTTTTACCAGAATGTATTAAATGAAATCGAAGAAACTGTGGGTAAATGAAGAAAAATACACATTTTCTATACCCTGATGGTCTCTATAACATCGTGCTGTTAGCGTTGGTGCATAATGATAATTTAAAACCCTTTACAGTCCCAATATCCCCGTAATCCTGCGCAGGTCGCCTTAATTAAATGTCCGTGCAGTGGCCTGCAGAGCTCCACCGGTTTCTCCTTACATGGACCGGGGCATGAACTTTTTCCACCGCCCTGGGCTGTTTACACAATTCACCACGGGCCTTTTACTTAATACCACGGTCTGCCCACCCAGTCCTCTTTAACTCCTCATTATTTTAAGTATTCACCACCAAGGCGCAGTGAAAAGCAAGACTGGTGTGAAATTAATGCACAAAACAACATGGCGCCATATTTATGGACGTTGGCTGCTCTTTTAACCACCGAAATGATAAATAATCAGGGTAACTTTATTAATGAAATAGATACCCCACGGTCAGGCGTCCTTCGTGTAAATATGGGGATTGATTTTGTATTTGATTTGAGAGGAATTTTATTTTCAGAACAGATGCTTTTTTTTAGCGCTTATTCCCAGTTTTGCTGCTGACGCTTCTGTCAGAAACCGATTTCTGCAACCTATAATCTTTTTTAAAAGTCGCTCTCAAAACCATAGTGTATGCAGCTGAAAATGAATAACGTATCAAGTAAGATCTTAACATTATATGTTGATATCAGAAGACAAAAATATATATATTTTTAAGATCCACATTCTTGACATTGTTCATAGTCTTGAAAGAGACGAGGATAAAATAGATAGAGCCTATCTAAGGTTTATCATAACTGTCATGAACTTGGCTCTCCCTAGCGGTCGAATATGGGGACAGTATAGATGATTTATCCGAAAAACATATTTTTTTATGCGCAAATGTCATATACAGAACTTACTAAACTTAATTTCGTGACCAAATCCTTCACATTTGACCTTATCTCTCCAAATAAAAATCTAAAATTAGAATATCCCAAGACTTTTATATGTCTCTGTTAAAGGGCCCTAAAACAGCCCTTTTCTCTGTGAATCCGTGCTGCAGCAGTGTAAATCCCCCCAGCACGAGTGATAAATACACGAGCCACACATCGACAACAATCCATTTCTGAGAGGTTGCTGCCACCCCCTGGTGAATATCAGTACTGCAGCCATAAACTCCATGTAGCTGTTTCTTAAATAAACAGCCACGATAAATTAGACTAGTGTCCAAAAGGTGCAACACTTTTTTCAGTAATATTGACCCTTATCAATACATTAGCCTCACTTTTGCTTATTTCCTTAATTTCCTGAATAGTGCAGATCAGACATGATCCCCCTGCATATGTCAGAATATAAAAAATAAATTGGGTTAAAACGACTTTAATTGAGAGTGTAGTTATAGATCTTTTCTAATGTTCACAGCCCAATGACTTTGGACAAGGAATTTATGTATTATATCATTTGTTCAATGGGCTATAAACAAAAATAAAGTCCCGGTCCTTAATGATAGACATTCAGAGCAAAAAGGAATGGTCATAATTGTGTTTGATGCTTAGTGTTTGCTATTTTTCTGTTAGTTAGGGGCATTGAGATTATTTGAATAAGTATGTGTTGTTAACTTGATAGATATATTGTTTATACACAGATAAAACGTTTAAACATTGCATGTTAAACTGGGTCTTTGGGTGCACAAGAACAGTTTGAGAACTCAAAATGGAAAAGAAAAGATGTCTTATTCTTTTTTATTTATTATTGTATTTTTCTTTCTCTGTGGCAGCTGAACAAAATTAGCTTCCATAGGGAAAACAGTATTCACGTGAAAAAATAAATCAGTGAATCAGTTGTGCTCAAATTTATGTTTACAGCTATCATTATAGTAAGAGTTAAATATGACAAAGTAAGATAAGCTATTCTCTGAGTGTTCCATGTTAGAGCTGTACACTTCTTGACGTCACATGTTTTGAATTAATTGTCAAGATCATCTGCAAAGGAACACATTTCTCACAGAGTGCTGAATATTTTTGATGATAAAAAGATCAGTAAAAAAAACTGTGGCTTGGAATGTTAAAATGAATCTAACAACGCAAGATATGACGTCATCACTACAACCCTGAAATAATTCGTACGTCCTGTCGAAATTTTAGATTTGAACGTTTACTTAGCACTTTTTTTCTTAATCTTCTACGATAGGTTTGGGAATTCTTGTTCTTTTCAGCACCATGGACAGCAGATGCGTTAATAACTTGACACACAAACAGACACGTATACGTTCACTTTTTGGAAAGTATCATGTTGGGATAATAAAGCTACTGCTATAAGAATGACATGTCTTGAAAAGTGTATGAGCAATAGTTTTGTAACTTCAACATTTTTGTATCTCCAACATCGTACATGGAAAATAATATAGAGCAAAAATAGATTAACCAGGTGATTAATCGAACTGAATATAAATCGAAGTCTCGTTTTAAGTTTAGTCGACTGCAACAGTGAGGAGTTCCACTTTAACTCAGAGCTTTGTGTCTGTAATCTGACAGATTTGGCCATCCTGACAGAACATATGGGCTTTTGAGTGAGCCGTATTTTTACTTGGAGAAGTGGCCAGGAGACTGGATTGCTGGATCATCAAATCAGAGCTCCGTTTGAGCCGTTTGAACCTTCACTCGCCATGAGATGGCGGTGTAGGATAAGATAACACAACGGGGAGGTTAAATGGAGGGATAAATCTCAGTTAGCAGCTGAAATATTCTTGTTTTAGATCAAGTGGACACCTTTTCCACGCACACTGAGTAAAACGGAGAGAGTCAAAGTGTTTTTAGTTAAATTTAAATTATGCACAGTTTGTGTTTAAGGTAAGTGTTCTGTTTAAGTTTGGAACTGTGGCTTTTAAGGGAGAGAACTGGAGCTATACACAGCTGGATTTGCCCCATAATGTTCTCCAAAATGACTATGCCAAGCAAAAAAATATTTGTTGTATAAATTGAATTATTTAAATGTGAAAATACCTACTCAGAAATTGGGATTTCGTGTCATTTGGAGGCTACAGCCACCAAATCATAGTCATTATTTTTTTCCTTCTTGCGTGTGTAGCCTATGAAGTACAACAAAAGAAGAGACGGAGCGAGAGAAGGTTTAAGTTAATATTTGTTTAACTTTGATAAAGAATCATTTATTTTTAAAAACATCAAACACGTGACCTCTTAAACATCATTCTCTTTTGTGATTGCCAGATTCTTTCGAAAATCAGCAAAGAACTTCATGCCTGAGCAAATTCCAATTCCAATGCTGTCCGTCAAAGTGGGCGAAGTTGATGAAAATGGGATGTGCCATCATCAGTAACAAAGTCTGTCAGTGCATCACAACGGATGAGTTTTACAAGGATGGTCAATCTGAAAAGCTGGAATTAAATGCAAAGTGTTCCTCTCGCTGCTTCACGTCACATCACGCACGGCTTTACGTCCTGATAGATGCTCTGATGGTGCTGCTGAAGCTGGTGATAGTAAGACCCGCCGGTGTTGGGATGGAAAGAGGAGATTCCGTTTAGGTTTAAGAGGAATTCCTTCCTGTCACGCACAGGAGCAGAAGAGTGGCTGGAGTATCGAGACAACCCCACTGTAAACAAACAGGACACAGAAGGTCATCATCTCATCAGTCGATCTGTTGCTGGATTGTTTTAGATTTTTTTTAGGCCCATATTTGACACGTTTTCTTTAGACATGAAAATTGTCTGAATGATTCGTTATCAAATTTCTCCTTGAGAATTTGGTATTTAAACCCATGTTATAGATATGGACCCTATAAAGACAGCTTTTTTGCAGATTAACTTCTAAAATGTGTTTCAAATATTGCGTTTGGTCATATGTTCAATTAATCAATAAAGACCACACATTCAAGAAAAGTACATTTAGATAAAGACGAATTTACAGGAGTCAAATCATAATCTTATTTAAGCATGGAAATTGGATGAATGAACAGACGAATAAAGAGACAATTTTATTAATCGTTGGAAGGTATGACTTAAAAAAAAAGTCTGCATTCTACAAAAAAAAAGTGTTTAAAACTATTATTAACGGTCGTTCAAAATTAAAACAACTACTAAGCCACAATAAATAGTAAGAGGGCCCATAGTTTATAAATGGTTTCTCATATTAAAGGCCTTTGTAGACATGTTGGAATTATTTTAAAAATGCCTGATTTTATGTTTAATGGCACGTCTTTCTCTTTTTGTCATAATGAACGTTTGTATTTAAAATAAACAGGCCTTTAGTTTAGAGAAAGACTGTGTGATATGCTTTTAAATAACAGAAATCTTAAATGCCAGGTTTTCTTGTTGGAAAATGTGATCCATTCCTTCAACCTTTCAAGAAGCATTACATGCAAAACATGCCTGTTTTGTGTGATTCTCTCTGTTACTCAATATTCTGATTTGATATTCATAATATAGACTCGGATGGCACAGAAACAATTGAATTATATTTCGGATTGCCCACTTTTCTGCGCATTTAGTGTAAACAGATCAGGAAAATGTATCCATGCTTAACACTTAATCCCATAAACTGTGATGATTAACCGTTGAGTGCTAACGTCAACTATACCCATGTTCTACCTGAAATGTCAGAGGAATCTCGTGCGTTATGGTGCAGGTATCCTTGATCCAAAGAGTAAGATGGTACTCCCGTGTGCACGGCTGAGGAGCTGCTGCTGGATGCCACGGACTGCTGTTTGATGTATGAGGACAGGCCAGATGAAGTCCAGTGGGAGGCCGTGTTGGCGTACGGGGGCTGACAGTCCAAGGCCCCTGCCACCACCGGGGAGGACTGCGACGGGCTGCTCCTGCTGTCCGCGCAATAGTCTGCGTTCGAGGCAGCCTGGCACGCGGACATGTAGGATGACCCGGGGCTGGATGACGCGTGTGACCCATGCTGCCCTCCTCCGAGTCCCTCGAACCCACCTGGAACCGCGTTACCCATCAAGTCCAAGTTGTAGCCGTTGTGACACGACAAGGAGCCCGGGGGGGATTGGAAATCGAAGTTCTGTGGCAGCATGGACGCGCCGAACCCGATGCCGTTCATCATCCTGTACATCGGCTTCAAACCCTGGCATTTCCTGCGGAAACCTCGGGGTCTGCGGCGAAAGGAGCCATCCTCGAACATAAACTCGCTGTGCGGGTCGATGGTCCAGTAGTGCCCTTTGCCAGGTCTGCCCAGACCCTTTGGCAGCTTTATGAAGCACTCGTTCAGAGATAAATTGTGTCTGACAGAATTCTTCCACCCCTGGTATGCTCCCCTGAAGAAGGGGAAGCGGGCCTGCAGGAACTGATAGATCTCGCTTAGAGTCAGCCTCTTAGCAGGTGAGCTCTGTATCGCCATCACGATCAGGGCGATGTACGAGTAAGGGGGCTTTTCAGGGCGCCTCAGTCCTGAATTTGCCTTTTTCCCTTTATCACGGGCGCTCTCCATCACTGGCTGTGCGCTGACCACAGCTGAACCCAAAGCCCCGGCAGCTGGACAGGAGTGCACGGAGAGAGACGGGTCCAGATGTGGCTGGGTCATCTCAGTCGTCATGTTTGCGCCTTTTTGCCGGACTTCAGTTCCGCAGAATCTCTAAAGTTTGCTATTCCTAATAATAAAGCATTTTAATAGATCGGTGTCCCTCAGTCAGCCTCCGTGGGGTTCTGACCGTGTTGCAGTTCTTCCTTCCCATCTACGTCCATTGCTGGCAAAAATCCCACAGATAAAGATCCTCGACTTTCCTTGCGCATAACCACCCGGCCAAACACAACTCGACCACCTATCAGTTCTCAAATCTCTCTCTGCCCTTCTACCCCCTCCTCCCCCAAATCCCTCCAAGAAATCGCCAGGAACTGCTCCCTCCCCATCTGGCCAGGATCCAGACAAGAAGCCGGACGCAGTGCAGCGGAGTAAGACAAATATCCTCCCACTTCCCCCTCTCCTAAACACCCCTGTCCACACTTGAAAGCCAATATAAGGTACTAATATGACCAACTGTCCATTAATGAAACGGAGGAGTTCAAATAGATTTAAGAACAGGCCTTCGACTGGAGCAATGATAACAGCTGGCTGCTTTCGGTCCATGAGAGGTCTCAAGATTTGATTTGTTTGGGATCTGCTCAGGGTTAGCGTTCTGACATGAGAGGAAGCATGCTTTTTCCATCAGAGCGTGCCAACATACCACACACAGCGTGCAAGTGTCAGTTTACCTCACAGAGCCTGGATTAAATCCCAGGAGAATTTAGTATATCGTAGAATTTAACAAGAGTCACGAGAATTGTTCAGATGGGAATTTAAAAAAAAATCATCATGAGGAGAGAATGAACGACGACTTTAGGACAGAAAAGTATTTCCCATCATCATTTTCTAATCCATAAAAAAAAAAACTCTAAATCAAACTCACTGAACTGCTTTAAAAAAAACTTATTTTCAAGTCTCAGAAAAACGAGTCAGTTTGGAAAATAATTTATTTCTCATCTCCTTCAGCACATGTGGTGACGGAGGTGAAAGATGCAGAGAACACAAATACCTGGTGCTTCTGTGCATCTGTTTAAAAACTAAGGAGGCTCTTTTTTCAGAAAGTGCATTGGGAGAAACGTTATTAGACGGTTTCATCGTTTCATTCATCCCTTTTTCCAAAATACTTCTTAATATTCGCAAGATGCAATTTGTAATTTATGGCCTAAAAAGGAGATTAAGGCCATACATATTGTCATCCACGTGCGCAATTGACAAACCGGACTGGAAATAAGAGTGTGCAGGTGTGAAGTCAAACTGCCCTCCATAACATCCATTATAAGTGCAACAAAAGTAAATACACTGGCATATCAGGAGGAGTTACTTTATTTTATGTAAGTTTTTTTTAAAGATATAGATTTTAAAAAGTGCATATTCAGGGTTGCTGAACAAATAAAATAATGATTTATTAAGTAACATTTGCAAGTTATTAGAACATTAAATAAACATTGGAGGTGCATTGAAGGGAAACAATACAAAAAATAAATCCCCCATCCACCAAAATATTGTAATATTCAAGTTAGAGTCCCAACATCTGCTCAAAGTCTTTTTTCTCTGACGTGGTGGTTCCACGCTCATCCCCCTTATGGTCAGTGCATACTAATGATTTTGATCATCCAATGATGAATGTCCTGTCCCTTTCTTTTACTCAGTTACCGTAAACGTTCGACTGTAGAAGCAGCCCGGGACCAAACGCGCTGGCAAAACGTGGGCCGAAGTGCCAGGGAGGCTTGGAGTACGGAAACGAGGCAGGTGCGTTTGAGTGGCGCATCGCCAGGTCACTGCAGAGTGACCAGGGGAAGGCCGGGGGGTGAGGGACTGGTCCGGCGTTTAACTCCTTCTCGAACGGCTTGCTGAGGATGCTCTCGATCGCAAAAGAGCTGGTGAACTTGGGCCGTGCGTCAGCACCGGTGTCCGGAGCGGGCTGTCGGTTTCTCCCTGCCTCCTCTGCCTGCTCACACAGCTCCTTCTCCCGACTGAACTTCTTGCTGATGCGCTTTCTTCTACGGCGAAAGACGCCGTCCGCGAACGTGTACTCACTCTGGGGGTTGAGCATCCAGTAATTGTCTTTTCCCCAAGGTCTGGACGGGTCCCGGAGGACTTTGAGAAAGCAGTCGTTCAGAGACAGGTTGTGTCGTACAGAGTTCCTCCAGCCGGTGTAGCTGCCTCTGAAGAAAGGGAACTTTTTCATTAGGTAATCGTTTATTTCCGCCAAAGTCAGACGTCCGGAGGGAGAATCCCGGATGGCCATGGCAATGAGAGCAATGTAGGAGAGTGGGGGCTTGGGTCTCCGTGTGTACGGCTTGGACTTGCTGCTCGCGCACGGGGTAACAGGTGCAGGGCTGTGGACCACGTAGTCTCCATCCGACCCCAGCTCCTCTTCTGCGGAGACAGGGGACCGCAGCGTGCTCCTTTCAACGCCGGACCTGTCCAAATGGTTCGTGTCATACTGACTTCCACACAGCACTTCAAGCTTCATCCTCCCTGTGATGCCGGGCAGAGTCACAAAGGCACAAGAGCGTTTTGCGTAAAACTCTGTGATCAAGACGCGTCCGTCCTTGCTCCGTTTCCAAAGAGGCGTGTCTGTCATATCACACCTGCCACAGCAGTGCAGCTCCACTCACCTTTGCTGCGTGTGAGCGTTTGAGCGTGGCTTTATAACCGGCTCACCTAGGGACCGACCCACAGAGGTGGGGCAAGAGGATCCAACAAAAAAAAAAAAAAAACATCATGCAACATATTTACAAAACGACGTTGGCCGTTTTCAATGAAAAGGGAAATTGTTTATAGAATATCTAGTGTGATAAATCATTAGAGGATTCCTCCCAGATTCTATTTCGATGTCATTTCACCTGTCCCTCCTGTGAAATGCGATCTGCCACCTGGCGCCTGTTTCACCTGACACACCAAGGTGGCGTACGTCTCCGGTAAAATAAAAAGCATTCATTCATGCAGTTCATTTCTTATTTTCATGCAATACTATCACATCCACAGCTCCAATTTATTTGTTTTAAAAAGATTTTTTTCACAAGCTAATTAATTTCCGAGGTTATTGTATATGGTGCCAGCATAATTAAACTCTAAAGTTCTCTTAATATCTCTCACAGCAAAAGTTTCTGCCTATGCTGCAGCAATCTTGACTCCAAGAAACCTCTGTTACTCTCTCCATCTTAACAACCAAGTTGTGTTCATTAAAAAGACATTTAGTTGTTATTCCGTTTATTTCAGAATGGAGTATGTTAAGATTTTGGAAGAGGAACTAAGCATAGAGGATAAATCTAAAGACTGTTGAGTTAAAATATATCATTATTACAAATTCCATTCCCTTCATTCATGTAGCAGTGACACTGCGCTCAGCCTGTCTTTGATTGATTGTCATGGTTATGATGCTACAAATGATTAACTGCAGAAAAAAAGACTGTGGGAAATCCTTCAGACTAATTGAGTCTTTTACTTCCTTCTCTAACTTTAGGCAGATGCATATTGCAAAAGGTCCTACAACAACAGTCTACTACTAATTTGTTGGTAGCCTTTAATACAACTTTTAAAAGTGTCTTCCTCTGAATTTGTTCCTAAAAACAGCGGAGAGGAAGATGTGTGTATGTGATGCAAATTGTTTTTTTTATTACTTCCTCATTGGTTTTAGTTTATATGACATTGGATACGGTTAGAATTCAAACATGATTATGTCTGAAATAATTTTTTTTTTTTTTATAATGCATCATTCACCTTCATAAATTCCCTTTTATTGGTTACCTTGGTCACCTGTAAACACAACAGATGCTTGAATCTGTAACTTTAAGGTTGGGTTTAAACATGTGCTTTGGCAAAGCAGCAATGGAGCCAAGGCTGCTCTTTTTATTGGGCATAAAATGCTGTTACTGACATTATTGCACTTTGGTTAGGTCAAAAACAATCATGGTTAGATCTAGAACACTTTCACAGTGTGGCTGTGCTTGGACATCATTTCTACCCTTATCTTGCATGTGTACAGGATAAGTAGAGTTTGCAAAATAATGAATTGCGTAAAATGAATATATCAGCTTGAATGAACAAATCACAGCACATTCTGGGAAAGGCTCTCCATTGGGGGCAGGTTGTGTCATGCCATGAACCTGAAAAACATGAAATGGTCCACAAACCAAAAAAAGAGAGACACAGTTGTACTTTTGCTTATGAAAGAAAAATATATTTTTAGCCTCAAAGCAAGACTCTTTATAGTCCAAACATAGACTTACAAAAGAATACAGAAAAGCACATTTACAGCTACTTTCCGACATCCCTGAAGCCAAAACAAAAGGTATGAATTCCACCTAGGTCCACTCAGGGCATGGACATGATGCTAGGCTTTATAGTGTCTGCATGTAACTAAAGCTGTAACATAACAGGGCAAATTAGGCCCATTTTATATTCACCATGATATTAAGTGAACCAAGCTTATTACAGATGTAAATGAATGAACAGATGAATTAATAGACTTTCCAAATTATGTAGAATTGTTATCTAAATATAGGGTCTATAATCTAGGGTTTATGTTAAAACTTTCCATTGATCACCATTGAAAGCATGTTATTTTATCATTCCATCATTTTGATCACAAGAAAATAATTTCTTCAATCAAACTACTGGGTTGGCTGTGTATCATATGGACCTTTTTATAATTACTTTAAAATCTTTGGAGATGCCCTGCATCGTAAAAATGAAGCTCAGTGAAGGGAGTGTTGAAAATATCATTAAGAGTAGTGTGATTTTCATTTGAAATAGATACTTTAAAAATAAATCCCAATTACCTCATTAAAGAAAGTGACCGAGAGAGCATGTTTTTTTGTTACGAAGTATTGAGGTATTCCCGTCTTTCAGGAGAAATCATCAGTTGTGGCTGACACAGCAAGACCAAAAGGAGAAATTTCAGACTTTAAATGATCTCACAACAGAGGAGCAGATAATTATATCCTTCAGGCTAAAAACTCCTCGATGTCGGTCACAACACCAAAGTGTTATTTCTACCCACAACTGTCACCAAGTGTGCTAAAGGTCTTTTTTTCTGCAAATGTAGATTTCGAAGTGTTGCTTTTACGTGTTTGATCGAGTCTGAATGTTTTGATATCAGATAATCATCGGTTTGTGTTGACTGTGACACCAAATCTGTGATGAGGTCACAATGTTTGACTGATTGCGTGCAAGAGTAGATTTGTGTAAGCTAACCTCACAATGACAGGAGCCCAAACAGCATGTGCTCAGTAACCTCAGAGCAGGTAGCAGCTTGTGAGGCCAACAGCTGCGTGTTCGGGCATTCATTATGATCTGCTTAGTGACAAGCTGAGCTGCCTATTGTGGCTTGAAATTGTAATCGCCAATCTTCAGGGAAAATTAGGCTTACAGTGTGAGTCCTGTCACTGATTTATCCATACATTGATAATGTGAGGTGTGAGGTGAACTGATTTCAGTAAACATGTCAGTGTACTTTAAGCAACTTAAGACAGGGTTTTCTAGAAACTTCATGTTATTGTGATTAAAAAGTGTGCTCATCATTTTCTGGCTCCTCAGGTAAAAATATGAATGACTCTTTACTGATCATATGAGTAAATGTACGGTAATTAAACACAAGGTTACATTCAAGCACAGAACGTTCACTCTAATCCTTTGGATGCTTGCTATGTTATATTTAAGACCTATTTCTTTCTTGGCAGTGACTTTATGTTGTACAATTTCACAATTTCCGTGTCATTAAAAGGTAAACTATTAGGCTTAGAAATGTAATCTAATATGTACAGCCTAGCAAACATCATGCTTCATAGCCAACAGTGTCACCTGCATACAAGTGTTCTATTTTTGGCTTCCAAGATGACAAATCCTATCGGGTGCCTCCAGTTAAGCTCTAAAGCGAGAGGCCCAGAATTCGACATGTGCCTGAAGCAACAGAACCAGTTGTGACAGAGAACTATGTATTTGTGCTGTTTAAGATGAAACAGGAGTTTCATAAACTCTGTCTGTGGACGCACATTTTCTGATTAGCATTTGTGTGAATAGCACTGCACAGGTGTGGCGGCTTGAGCGGATCAGTGTCACAGCTCAACTGCCTCTTCCCCACTTCAGACCAGCACAGATGTGGCACCCAACCAAGAGTTGATCTGCTGGTCCTTTTTTCCCAGCACAGCATGAATAAGATGCTGAGATAAGTCAAATCCCTCCAACTTTACCCACTTTCCACATCAAAAAGAGCATTCCATACTTTTCCGCAAGAGAAGCACAACTCTAGATTTGCAGGCACTGATTCACATTTGAGGCCACACCAAGCCACCCAAATGAGAGCCAGTTTTTCCTGCCACTGTGCCAAGACAACAACAGCACAGTTCATGGGAAAAGTAAAACAATTAACCAATATTACCTGTTATATAATGGCCGCACAACATATTTTGAACAGCAATAAGACAAGACTTTTGAATCTCTCAGGACTTGAGAGGGGTTTACTAAATGAGCTAAATGTTAAACTAAACTGAAATGTGTTGTTGTGGCGATTTAAGAAAATACTTTTCATACTTCAGAGCAGTAAGCACGTATATAACGTCAAACAAAAAACATTGCTTTGCTCATAATAGGTGGCGACTCTTACATACGATCCTTACATTTTTGTGCTTTTCCATTTCAGAAAAAACAACCTTTCTTTGATGCAAAAGAGCAAAATTATCATTATATCATATGCTTAGCATAGATTAAGGTTACATTTACATGAAAAAAAAATATCTGAGCTTCGCAGAGCATCCCAGCAATGTAAACTGTTCAGGCAAATTCCAGACGATGTCTAAAAATAACCCTGTGATTGTTGGTTTCTCTGGCTGAAGGCTCACTTGCATTAGAAAGTCGTTGTATGTAAAATTCTAAATTGTGTTTGATGTTGGGATGTTTTGTTACTTCTAAAATGAAAAGTACTTTCAGCAATTCCTGGTGACCTTCATTATTCCCGCTTGCTATTTATGAAGCCTGACACTAAAAAGACCCCACTAATTATAGTATTTTGGCAGCTATGTTTTGAAACTGTCTTAGTTTCTCAGTCTTTAACAGACGTATTATAGTTTTGCAACATGTGCATGTGAGTCACCATTACACAGCTCATAAACACACTCTTTATGTACATTTGGCTCTACGTGTTTCTTCATGTATATGCTGTCCCACCCTGTGAAAGCACATTCTGTCCCTGTAGAATGTATCTTTAATGACTCCCTTAATGAGGTTAATCATTATCATTGTCCAGAAAAATTAATAGTAGGTGGCCATCAAGACTTATCTTAATGATGGTTAACAACATTCATGTTGTCTCATGTCTACAGACAGAAAAAGCCATCAAAGAAAGAATATAGGCAAGCCCTCACCTGTTTGTGGTTTCAAACGTTTCTATTTTGGTCCCATCATTCTGGAGATGGAGAGACAAAGAAAAGTAGCAAAAGCAAATACATTTCAAGGAACTGATAACAATACAACCAACGGTTGACAACAAAGTTATCAACAAATACACAATCCAAGGACAATATATTGAATGATGAAATTAAAAATAACTCTTTTAATAAGAATGTCATGTGATGTGTTTCTATG